TTCCTCACAGCGGTGCAGCTGAGATCAAGAACTCCCAAATCCCTGCGCTCTCTCTCTCTCTCACTCTCTCTCGATGGTTTACCGCCCTTCCACTTTGCGTCTCCACATTGCAGCCAAATAAATTCATTCTTTCCCAGTCTCCCAAGCTGGAAGGTTTGGAAGTTTTTTTTTTATGATGAGCACCAATCTTGCTCCATTTCTATCCAAATAGGAGAGATGAAGGAGACAATTTTCCCCAGTTACTTGTACTTCGCTGTTGCTGGGACTTATACTTACAACAACAATTTATATTTGGATAGCACCCTTCACCCCAGGGTGGCGTCTCGGAGCTAGTGTATTCTATTTGATCCTTCACTGCCATACCTCATGGCAAAGGATCAAAAAGAATTCATCCCAACTGTGGCGGGCGGAACTGCTCAAAATTCAAACCCATGGCCATCAGGTTGAGAGAACAATCCTGTTAACAACATGTTGTTGGGCTGGAAAGGTTGGTTTTTCCAGTAATAATTAAGGGAAGGGCAGTCTGAAGTCCATTGCCACTCTCTATAACCAGCACAGCAGCAGATAATAATATAAATCCTCCTATGAGATAAGGCGTATTCTGTGCCAATCCAGATACCAGCCTGGTTTAGAACTGATTTCATTTGAGCGAAGGAGAAAGTGACACATAGTGCTTGAAGCTCTCAACTATCTCTTCGAGTTAACAAAAAACACGTACTCTCCCCTTTTACAAGGAAACTGTCCTGCCAGCATCAAATTACATTTACATAGCAGCTTTCATATCAGGAGGACGTCCCAAGGTGCTGAACTGTCAGGGATCCACACCCGAGCTGGCGGTTGGGATTAGGAGGGGTGGAGGGCGGGGAGGGTAGGGGTAGGAGGGTGACCGAAGGCACGAACGAAGAGGGAGGGTCTTGAGACAGTTCTTGAAGGAGGCAAGGGAGGGATCGAGGCGGAGGGACTGTGGGATGTGATCTCTACAACAGCTGACTCTGACCAGTTTGCTGCCAATAGTCATGTTAGTAATCAGCACATCAAAAGCAGGTTTTTGTTCACATGTTCGAACATGCAGGATATTCTCAATGATTCACTCACAGCAATAGACCATTGCGTTCACAGACTATATCTTCCCTTACACCAAAGATGACAGCATGAAAAAGACTGTTTTCAGAGTAAACCCAGGAAGAATGATGCAACATGCTGTAAATGACAATTTCCAATAAAATGCACCTTAAAGCAATGTTTCTGCTCTGCATCTCAGAGTACAATTAGAGTGTTCTACCAGCCAACTGCGATCAAAATCACAATCACAATTCTTATTTCAACCAGAAGCAATATATGAGATTCTACTGCAGTTATTGCAGATCATTTGAATCAGTTTAGCACAAATAAGGGAGAAGATAGATTACGAGGGCAAACTAGCAAAGAACATAAAAACAGACTCCAAGAGTTTTTACAAATATATAAAGAGGAAAAGGCGAGCGAGGGTGAATGTGGGTCCATTACAGGCAGAGACCGGAGGAATTATAATAGGGGACAAAGACATGGCAGAGTCATTAAACAAGTATTTTTCTACAGTCTTCACCGTAGAAGACACTGGAAACATACCAAAAATAGAGGACCAAGAAGACAATGTTAGCGAGCAACTTAGGGAGATTAACATTAGTAAAGAGATGGTTCTAGGTAAATTGTCGGGTCTTAAAACCGATAAATCCCCTGGACCGGATGGCCTGCATCCGAGAGTTTTAAAGGAGGTGGCTACTGAGATAGTGGATGGCATGTCTATAATCTTCCAAAAGTCTGTGGATACTGGAAAAGTTCCCATTGATTGGAAGATTGCAAACGTAACTCCACTATTTAAGAAGGGTGGGAGAGAAAATAGGGAAAACTATAGACCAGTTAGTTTGACGTCAGTTGTAGGGAAAATTCTTGAGTCCTTAATAAAAGACGTAGTTATGGGATACCTGGAAGACCATAAAAAGATTAGGCAGAGTCAACATGGCTTTACAAAAGGGAAGTCATGCTTGACTAACCTTTTAGAGTATTTTGAGGATGTATCTGCAGGTTGGATAGGGGGAACCAGTAGATGTGGTATATTGCCACACAAAAGGCTGTTACTCAAGATCAAGGCCCACGGGATTAATGGGAAAATATTAACATGGATAGAAGAGTGGCTATCGGGTAGAAAGCAGAGAGTAGTGATAAACGGATCATTCTCGAATTGGCAGGATGTAACTAGTGGAGTGCCACAAGGATCAGTGCTTGGGCCTCAGCTATTTACCATTTACATCAATGATCTGGACGAGGACATTGAATGTAATGTGTCTAAATTCGCGGATGATACTAAACTCGGTAGCAGAGTGAGCTCTCAGGATGATGCAAAAAGATTGCAACAAGATATAGATAGGCTCGGGGAGTGGGCAAGTAGGTGGCAGATGGAATTCAATGTTAGCAAGTGTGAAATTATTCACCTAGGTAGCAAGAATAAAAGAACAGATTATTTTCTGGAAGGGGAGAAGTTAGATAGAGTTAGTATTCAAAGGGATTTGGGTGTCCTTGTACACCAGTCCCAAAAAGTTAGTTTGCAGGTGCAGCAGCAACTAAGAAGGCGAACGGCAGTTAGCGTTCATTTCGAAAGGTTTAGAATATAAGAGTAGGGAAGTCTTGCTGCAACTGTATAGGGCTTTGGTGAGACCGCACCGAGAGTATTGTGTGCAGTTTTGGTCCTTATTTAAAAAAGGACACACTTGCCCTCGAGGGGTTGCAGCGTAGATTCACTCGGTTAGTTCCTGGGATGAGGGGACTGACCTATGAGGATAGGCTGAATAAACTAGGGCTGTATTCTCTAGAGTACAGAAGAATTAGGGGGATCTTATTGAAACTTATAAGATTCTTAAAGGGCTGATAAAGTAGACACAGAGGGACTGTTTCCCCTGGTAGGAGAATCTATAACCAGGGGTCACAGTCTTAAAATTAAGGGTCAGCCTTTTAGAACAGAGTTGAGGAAACATTTCTTCACTCAGAGGGTAGTGAACTTATGGAATTCACTACCCCAGAAGGCTGTAGATGCTCAGTCCTTGAACATTTTCAAGGCTGAGACTGATAGATTCTTGAAAAATAGAGGGATTAGGGGATATGGGGATAGGGCAGGTAATCAGAGTTAGGTGAGAAGATCAGCCATGATCTTATCGAATGGCGGGGCAGGCACGAAGGGCCGAATGGCCTACTCCTGCTCCTAATTCTTATGTTCTTATGTTCTTAAGATCATAAGACGTAGGAGCAGGAGTAGGCCATTCGGTCTCTCGAGCCTGCCCCGCCATTTAATAAGATCATGGCTGATCTTCTAACCTAATTCCATTTACCCGCCCAATCCCCATATCCCTTAATCCCTCTATCCTTTAGAAATCTATCAACCTCAGTCTTGAATATGTTCAAGGACTGAGCATCCACAGCCTTCCTGGGTAGAGAATTCCACAAATTCACTGCCCTCTGAGTGAAGAAATGTTTCCTCAACTCAGTTCGAAAAGGCTGACTGACCCTTAATCTTGAGACTATGACCCCTAATTTTAGATTCTCCCAGCAGGGTTAAACAGTCTCATGGCATCTCTTGTCAAGACCCTTAAGAATCTTATAGGTTTCTATAAGATCACCTCTAATTCTTCCATATTCTAGAGAATATAGGCCTAGTTTACTCAACCTGCCCTCACAGGTCAACCCCCTCATCCCAGGAACCAACCTAGTGAATCTATGCTGCACCCCCTCTAAGGCGAGTATGTCCTTTCTTAAATAAGGAGACCAAAACAGCACACAATATTCTAGCTGCCGTCTCACCAAGTTTTTTGGATTGAGACTTGACAGTGATTGTCGGCAGGTTGTCTGACAGAAAGCTCTGTTCTCACCTGACATACAGAGGGAGATCAATAATAATAATAATAATAATCCTTGCATTTGATATAGCGCTTTTCACGTCGGGAGGACGTCCCAAAGCGCTTCACAGAACACACTAAAGTGAATTGACTGTATATTTGTGGGCAAATGGGAACACATTGATTTTTCCCTGTTTAACCTTGGAGATGAGCTAGTTACTGTATCATGTCCTCCTCAAGTGTAATCAGATGACCAAGAACGGATCCTCAGTGCCTGAATTAACAAGGTCTTGCCGTACATTCGTGAGGACCTGCCTTTATCCAACACTTAGGAGCATCTGTTCTAAGCATCTGGCCTCCTCCTCATCCGTCCCCCGAGTCCTCCGCTCCACCCTCAGCGGCCGTGCCTTCAGCCACTATGCCCCGAGGTTCTGGAACTCACTTCCTCACTCCCTTCGCCTCGCTCCATCCCTTCCTATTTTCAGGTCTCTGCTGAAGACCTTTCTTTTCGACCGCGCCTTTGGTCACCTTCCTCCCCTCCCCCCTCGGCTCAGCCCCGGGATCCGTTACTGAGAAGCGCTCTGAGACGGCGTCCGGCGTGGAGGGCGCTATATAAATCCAAGTTGTTGTTGTTGTTCTAGCAATGTTGCAATGCTGTTTGCTGGTTTCAACTACTAATTGGTGGCTGGGGACCGTGATGTCCCAGATAATAATAATTCTTGCATTTAATGTCGTGCCTTATCACGTCGTAGACACGTCTCAAAGCGCTTCACAGGATTTTACTGTATAATAACTGTGAATTATGCATTTTTCCTGGGATTATTGGCCATAACACAGGGAGAAACTCTCTTCTCTTTTCTAATAGTGCCCTGGGATCTCTAGCGTCCACCTGAACAGGCCGATGAGACACCAGCTTAACGTCTCATCCAAAAAACTGCATCTCCAACAATGGTAGCAAACTGTAATGGAATATTAGCCTAAACCCTAAACTCAGACTCCCAACATGTGTGCACAACTTGCTGAGTCGGGGCAAGAGTGCTACCAATTGAGCCACGCTGACACACTGAAGCTTGAAAACATTTGTCTTAAAAATGTAGCACACACATTGACATTTGTTGAGTGTTTTTCACGTACCTATATACGGAATTGAAGCCAATGAGTCCTCTGATGACTTTAGGTCCGTTGCCTTCATCTTTGTCTGCTCCACAGGACTCTGGCCAGGAGAGTCGGCAGACAGCAGAGGTTCAGGCAAATCCACAGCTATCATGTATGATGGGTGTCTTAGAGGTTGTGGCACTCTACGCCCAGTCGGTGGCTTTTGCCTTAAAATGACAGCTTCATTTGTGTGCGTTTGTTCCTGTTCCTTGTGTGAAAACCCCGGAGAAATTTCACTGGCACATTCCGTGATTTCAGAAACCCCAGCAGCCGTCTTTGTGACAGCAAACTGTCTGGTGTCCTGATGGTGCGTGGCCCGACCAGAAGTCTTGTCCACCTGCTTTAGGTACAAGATGCCCTGCCGATCGTGATTGGTCAGTCTTTGGTCTTGAACAGCAGGGACGTCGATTCGCTGGACTTGAGCAGGTGAACACTTATCAGCTCTGGCGACTGTGGCTGCTGGCACAAAACCAGATGCTGTCCTGTTTGCCACATATATTTTACCTTGATTAACACTGACAGAGAGTTGACCTGCAGGTGCAATATGTGCCCGCTTTACAGAGTGAGCAGGCACAGCGTCATTCTTGTAGTGCTGTTGGGGAGGACTAAACATCCTAGAGTTAGCATTTTTGCAGGGTGCGTTCAAGTCATTAGAGTTCTGTAGGGATGTGTGGGACTGCTTCTGACCGCGCAGCAGTGGATCTCCAGCTTGTCGGTACTGTTGCCTAAGCATCTGTTCTGATACACCAGACCTGTGAACTCCTTCACTTGTTCCTCCAGACCTTGAATTTGGCCATATCCATCCACCCCCAGAAGTGTTCGCTGTTAAGCTCTCCATAGATCGACCACATTGTTCCAAATAGTCTTCTGAGTGTGTTCTATAACTCCACGAGTCACCCACAGGTGAAAGTAATGTATCCTGGGAAGCACTATGAGGCCAGTGTTTGTGTAGAGAAGTCTCTTCAAGCCGGTCCTGAGAATAACTCTTATATTTGGGGGCCAAATCACTGTAACTGCGGTCCTGGGATGAACTGCGACGAGGTAACTGGGCAGAGCGCCAACTGGGAGGGTTGTATTGATAATCTCCTGCTCGTTTACCTATTGCTTTGGAGGGTGCAAGATGTTCCCATGTTACTTTAATCCTATCAGAATGAAAATGATCATTTGCCCTTGTGTCTTTGGAACTTATGCAATTCCTTGGATCCTTGTTGCTCTTTGGACCCATGTAAACACCGTGGTTTGTAACTGTGGATACATTTTTAGAAGGTCTCCCATACCTCTCTTGCATAGCAGAGGTGACTGAAATATAATTGCTGCTTATCGGATTCTGCATAACAGAACTACCTGGTGTGATGTTTGAAGTGGAAGAAACAGACCTTCCTCTGACCGGGACTGACCTCTGTGGTTTAGTTCCATACGGTATCTCCTCTGAATGGTGCACGGGGCCTGAATGACTTACCCCAACCTCAGCCAGAATATCTGCTGACCGTGTTCTAGTCCTTCCCTCGCCCCACACGCTGGCAGGGGGGCTGGTGGTGGGAGCACTTTCCAGTGGCGATGAGGGGTCAGAATAGAATCCTCGGTCAGAACCAGTGTTGTAAATCCTGTTGTCGATCTGCCTTCCCTGCGAAGATTCATTTAGTAAAGGCTGCTTGGTCTGGGTCATTGCTGAGTGTGTGAAGATCTGTCGAGGGTAGCAAACAGGAGGTGGCTCGGGAATATGGCAAGCACTACCAGAATACGGATCATTGCCCTTCAGATAAGCATCCTGAGAGTACGCCTGCAAAACATACACACATTGTTAAAGTCCCAAGCCCGAACATCTCCTCTTTCCGTATCCTGGACCAGAATCTCAGCAAGTGAAGACTTAGGATCAGCAATTTTTAAGCAGAATAGTGAAGAGGTTAGAAAGAATTTCTTAAATTAAAGGGTGGAATTTATTTGCTGTTGAGACCGAGTCAGCAGAATTGTTCAAAAGAGAACTTGGATAAACGTCTGAGCTGTAAAAACATTAAGAATATGGGGAAAGAACTGAGAAGTGCATTGTTAAAAGAATAAATTGGAAAAAAACAGGAAAAAGTGACAAGATACAAGGGCTTTTCTGTTCAGAAAATATCTATGTTTCTATTATAAAGACCTGAAATAGTTAACTGGTACAATTAATCTTAACTTTGGGCCTAGAAATTAGGTCTAATTTGAGATAAAGGTTTTTTTTAATAAGAAATGAAGAATTACTGAAGGCATTCTTCAGGACATTTGAAGCTTTAGAAACTGTACAATTATATATTTCGAGTCACCATAAATTAAACCCCATTGTTAGCCTCTGGCCCAAATCACACCCACGAGGTGTGTCAAACTAGCGTCAGCGTGGGACAGGGAATAAAGATCCTGTACTGTAAGACCCCAGTGTGGATCTGCATGGTTCTCAAACCAATGATGTGACAGATTATTCCAGTCAATGTCAAAATGACTCAGATTTCAGGGCAAGTTGGTCACGGAACTTATAAAACGCCTTTCGAAACTTCTTGGGAGTTGGAATTACCTACAATCTGATTTTCAATGCCGCTAATTGAAGGCCACTTTCCTGGCACTGTGTTAGTGGTTCTGGGATTACACAATATCCAGGGAGACATTGTTTGCCAATCTCCTTAGCATTTACAGCAAAGGCTGTAATTTAGGATTTGACTTGTTCAGTTACTTTGTGGTCAGGGTTATGAAAAGTTAACCCCGAAAGGCTTCAAAAGATCCTCAATTTGCCCTGCTCCACGATGCTTAATAATATAATAATTATCCTTGCATTTTATATAGCGCCTTCTTTGAGGTCTCTGAGAGGTCTCAAAGAAGTCTTAATGCCATCCCTCCTGTTCTGTTTTCCAAACGTCCACTTAATTAACTCTCATGTTGAATATGGAGTAAACACTGATCAAACATTGCTTTTTTTTAAAAATTGTAAAACTATTTCTCGATAAAGCACCAGTCAGTCACATTTACTGTGCGAATCCCAAAGTGCTCCCCATGATATGGGAGGCTGGGCAATGCCTTAATAGCAATGAATCCTTTGGCGATTAGTTCCATGAGTTCTCCATCAGGATACTTGGTGGAAGAATCATGGCAAGAGTAAGAGGGATGGTTTGGCTAATAGCTAATTTCGGGAATCTCACCTCACAAGTGTCTCCTGTCAGCTGAGCATGGAATGGCATTGGTGCTGAGGTTATGCAGAAGTACACAGCTTGCTCGCCTGCCCTCCCAGATGAAGGGGGCTGCATGGAGGCAAGAACGAGGAAAGAACAATGGGAAACATACATTAAAGAACAGGCTGAGAAGACTTCAGTTGTCAAGGAGGTTAGGATTAAAAGAAGAAGTGAAGTGGGTTTTGAGCTGCGAGGGAGAAAAACAGCACAGAAGCCAAAGGTCCATGAGAAACGATGGAGGAACAAGTTGTGTTAGATTATTTCAATAGGAAGGTGCACAATAAATACATTTCGCATCACAATTTAAAGAACAAACATCACCATTAACATCCCTTTTCTAACACCTAAGAGAAATGATTCGTTTTCAGTTTCTGTCATGTGAAATATCTAGTTTAAACGTATTGCTAAGATTTTTCATAAATTTTGTGTGATTTCTCCCCACTGGTATGTGCTTGTCCACTCCTGGTCTGCTCTTGCTTGGGTGTCATCCACGGACACTGGTTGACCTCCAGTTCTTCACCCAAGTGGCCATCGCTCAAATGCGAGCCTTGGCAGTAAATACCAGCACTCTATTCAACTGTCACAAACCACCCTGACCTCTCCCCACCTGGCGATCCCATCCTCACACAATTAGGAGCAGGAGCCCATTCCTTATCCTGGGAAAATTAGGCCCAATTTAGCTTCCCCACGCGGCTGAGACCAGCCAAACACAGCCCTGACCAACCAAACACAGCCCCTCAGCAGCCAGGCACAGCCCTTCAGCAGCCAAACACAGTCCCTCAGCAGCCAAACGTAGCCCCGACCAGCCAGACGCAGCCCCGACCAGCCAGACGCAGCCCCGACCAGCCAGACGCAGCCCCGACCAGCCAGACGCAGCCCCGACCAGCCAGACGCAGCCCCGACCAGCCAGACGCAGCCCCGACCAGCCAGACGCAGCCCCGACCAGCCAGACGCAGCCCCGACCAGCCAGACGCAGCCTTGACCAGGATTCTAAGCAGAGACCTTCTCACCTGTAAGCTCCAGCTCTCACCAAAAGGCTGCACTATTCGTAAAAAAAACTGCAATGTTTCGGAAATTGGATAAAAGACAGAGCTTTAAAGGTCTCAAGCCTTAACTAAACCGTGTAACTTCAACCTCATTAAATCCAGGTCGTCTCATTAGTCAATTGGGTCGGGCGAGCTGTCAGGCTGGATAGAATGGAACTGGATACGAGTCATTAACCCAAGGTCCTTCATCTTATTCACACAATGAACTTCGGTCACTTTCCAAAGTCTTTTTCCTCCATGGAATATCAATGATTAGGTCATCAGCAATGAACATTTCAAAAAAAGTTTTTTTTAAAAAAAAGGTAGACAGAATAAATGAAGCCATAAAAAGCATTATACAACCAGCAGCCTGCACTGAGACTTGCCAGCAGAAACTTTGCACCCGTCAATCTTTTACAATACAATTACCTAATGATTGCCAAAACAAGTCTAAAAGTACCAAAGAAATGCCGAAATACACCACCAAATAATGAGATCAGTTTATAATGGAAACGATAACCTTGGGTTACTCGAAAGTTAAAACAATCCAGCAACTAACCTGCGTTGTTCCCTTGTTAAAACAGAAAAGCCAGGTTTTAGTCATTTATATGACCCTGACTTATCATTACTGCACTCAATGTCTCTCAAGCTCAGGTTGGGTTTGCTTACGAGTGTGCCATTTTACAATTGTTCACATTTTTCCATCCAGAATCAGGAGCTCAGAAATAAATCACATAAACATTCTCAAGGTAAAAACAGCTCCGGAACAGCGTAACTGCATTCTAACAGTGGCAGCACATTCCCCTCACATTAACTTGATCTAAGCCTTCACGCAACATTTCAGACTCACGTCACGAGTTTACCTTAGTGGAACAGACCACAAGAATGCAGTTACACCCTTAATGTGGGCTTGGCTAGGAACACATATGATTTGGAAGGAGCAGCCGGAGACTATTAAAGTGCAGTAATAAAAAAAAGTTAGCATGAACCTTTCCCAAAGCAAAGAACTTTATTACTACAAAATCTAGTTGCTGAAACAAAAGTTGTTTTTTGATTGGACAGATTAGCACCAAATATTCCCCGAAAACAATTAACCTTAAAATATTATATAATAACATAATAATACATTTGAGACTGAAGAATAATTTACCATAGCAATATTACTGTGCGATTACTGTCATATCAATATATATATGCCAACTCTGTAAATAGTGCCATTTCCCATTGGAATTTTCTTCCATGTAACACCCACACTAGACAGTATTAAGTTTGGGAATGCGGAACAAGAAGGCTTCCCTTGGTTACCCCCTCCCCTGTGATGGTTTTGATACTCTTAAGCACGGGGACGGATTTCCCGGTGTCTGAGAACCGGCTAACTGCTTGGGAGAAGGATGGAGTGAGGAGCCGGGCGGAGGGGGGGTTGAGGAAGGTGTACAACAGCAACAACTTGTATGTATACAGCGCCCTCCACACAGGGTAGCGTCTCAGAGCGCCTAATGGTGTTGGTGGGGTTCACTGCCTAATTAATGTGCTCAGGGAGGAGGAATGTTCCTTGTGACAAAACATTTCAAAGGGAGTCAGGTCATCGACCCCTTCAACTGGGCTCCAATGGCACAGATAAATGGGCTGGGCAGTGCGGTATCCCTATCTGGTTCTTTTTCCTGCCATTACCGTCTTTATACAACGGCCACTTTGCCTTGAAAATCAATCACCCAACACAGAGATTTTGTACCTAAAACATTTCAGGGCTGACATACAATGACAGCCATCCCAGCTGCTGTGTAGCGGCAAGCCAGATGGAGTCGATTTATGACGGTCTGCAAATCCACAGCCCCCAATGATTATGAAAACGATAGAATTCTAAATTTAACTCCAAAAAGCCATTTTGCAGATGTTACATGAAAGATGATGAGATTTTGAAAGCCAAACCTCCAGCAGAATTCAAACCCTTAAAGTGGGACCTGCAGCTTTTCTGTCATTCAGCAACTGTGCGCGATTAAATTACAAGATAAAGATCTCATGCTTGAAACAGCAACGTGAATATATCACGTCATTCTCGAAGCTCATTCTGGAATTAAACGTTTCCTCTTGTTTTTCAGCTCTTTAATTTTCACTCCCCACCTCTCAAACTCGCTGATTCATCCGAGGGTCTCAATGTCCCTCATTCACCATTCTTCATAGTGTGCGCCTGACCAGGAAACCCTGGCTGGCTATTCCGTCGGGAGATAACAAGAGTGTGATTCTGTCTGCACCTGACGTTCGTCATCGCCCCCAACTCTCTTTCTCTCTCTCTCACACACACTCCCACACAGAATAACTTCAGCAGCAGTCATTGCGTATCAACAGGCAATGGGAACCTTGTCTAACCTTTCTCTTCCCTGACGGCAATTAAGCTGTATATCCGATACACACGGGCACACTGGGAGCCATGATGGAACCATCACAGAACAAGCATACGGAACAAATTAATGTGTCTGAGATTGAGGAATAGCACCCAGAACCTTGTATCTGACGGTCTGTTTTTATGCGCATTCCCACTGATTAATCAGCGTAAACACTTCACAGGCGCCTGTTTGAGCTTGTACAAATGAATCATTGCAACATAGTTATAAACCTATTATACACTCTGGTTGGTTAAATGTACACAATTTTAATTTAAGCGTAAAAAAAAACTTGGCTTCACTGGTTAATTTGTTCCATTTCATCTTTTCTTTCAATTTCTTACATTTTTCTACGTCTCTGAGTAGCAATGAGGCTATCTGTTGTCCTGGCTGATATTACCGATTTGTCTCATTTTATGGCAGCAACCATTCCTCCTGCAATATTCTACTTCCAAACTGAATTGGCAACACTACTCACAGGTCAGCTGCTCAACCATGCAATCAGCCAAACTAACTACATATATTGGTAAGAATGAAATTGACTGGCTATCTTTCGGGCAATTAAGCAAATTATGCCAGTATCCAATATGCATTTATCATTATGTATTTGAGCAGAGAACCATTCCATCCAAACAAATTACAAATTGCAGGTTCCTAGAAATTGCTTTGCAATTTATTTGGCGGATAATAATAACAATAAATAACAATCCTTGCATTTGATATAGCGCTTTTCACATCTTCTAGACATCTCAAAGCACAGAATATACTGTAAAGTGGATGGACTGTATATTTTGTGGGCGAAACGCAGTAGCCAATTGTGCACAGCAGCGTCCCACAAACAGTCTTGGATTGAGTAATCAATTTTTTTTTGAGGGCCTATTATCCCCGGAAAAGCAATCTGCCAATCGACTAACAACCGGGTTTCTACTTACTGCTAGGTAAATGGAGGCGTGCGGAGTAAGAAACTTGCCCAACATTTTGCCCTGCCTGGAATTAAACACAGGTCTCTCGCTTGTATTAGTACTATTCCTTAATAAGAAATCTGAGCCTTGTAAATGAGCAGTTCTTCAGAACCACGTGAACTCTCCAACCAAATTGACTTCTGGAGCAGGGTTCCTGGGAAAAGGGGTTGTTGACAGTGATTTGAAGAAGCCCATTAGAAATCACTGCATTTAAATACAGTAGAAAGATTTTAATATCAACATGACTTGATGAAAAATGCCCCCATCTAATCAGAGAATTAGGATTGAAAGTCCCTAGCTCCAGCGGATGAGCTAGTGGATGAATTAGCTAGATGGGCTGAATGGCCTCTTTCTTTGCTCCGATTTTTAAAGATTCTAGCAGTTACCTGCATTTCTATTGAATGAGTTTACCACCATGACATGTAACAGTGATTCCATCAAGAACTTGGCTAAGGAAATCACACTGACCATTTTTCTAGCACAGTAAAGGGTGCATATATGACTCAAAAGTATCAGAATAAGAAATTAAAACTGTGTGTAACTTACCACCTGCAAAATGTCTTCATCTTTTGGCATAACTGAAAGCTCCAATATTTTGCTACTGAATGGAGGAGGCAAGAATGACAAGGTATTATTATCCTAATTAACCTAATTCACAAATTTATATTCAGACCAGAATTTGGTTTGCGGAGCAGTGTTTTATATATACAGTATATATACAATATATATATTTGATGAACGATTTGATGAATTAAAAGCCTATAAAAACAAAGGCAAAGCAAAAGTCAAAAAGGAGCACCTGCCATTGACTGATCAGTAGTGAACGATCAAAACAAACAGTTGATTCTGCAACAACTGAGCTGGATAAATACTGTGGGTGGGGATAGTATGGAGATTAAGGAGATACACAATCACTATCAGGGCTGCACTCTGTTCCTTATCATTGTTGGTGAAAAGAACTAGTGCGTCAAGGTTGCTAGGGGTTGCTGTTGATAGTGAGTTCTATCAGTTTGTATACAGCTCATGAATGAGGAATGACCGTCTCTCCTAGGAAGAATGGGGAAGAAAGGCTAGACTCGGCAGCTCAGAATATTAAAAGGTATAAGTAGGAAACACGTGAGTGGATCAGATTCGGTGCCTCAAGTGGAGAAAACACCAATTTAGATTTGACCGGCCGATGGCCCGTTTTTGTGCTGTGACATTCTATACTTGTACAAGAAACATCATTTTCCTGTTGGCGGACAACAGACCTCTGTAAACTCGCATTACACGACTTCTCCTCCTGGGCAAAGAGCTGAGTCACAAGCGAAACAAAGAGGTGTCTTTTGAACATGATTCACTTACCTGTTTTGAATTAGGGCTATTACTTGAGAATACGTTTTGCCAATTATACTCTCTCCATTCACTTTCACAATGCGATCCCCTGTTAAAAAATACAAGGAGGAGACTTTGAATTCTCAAGCTTAATACACATGTTCAATGTTCCACTATTTGCTTTGTTAACATGTTCACTTACCCACAATGGGATGACAAATGAGAAATAACATTATACGCAAATGAATGTTCACACTGTTGGGGTCGGGATCTCTCAGACCTCAGCATTAATCAATTAAAGCACTGTTTATTAAACACCATTCAGTCAGAACTTAGTCCATTCTTCATTACCCGGTGTGGTGTTACTCTCTATTCAGGTCCACACTGTATAGCTGCTACGCTAATGCTTGGCATCTTTAATAGTTAATCTGTTCCCAAAGGGCAGGTGGTGGTTATTTTAATAGAAATCTTTCCTCCTTCTGAAAAGTATTACAAAAGTATAATTTCCCCCAAAACACGCCCTGTATCCAGACAGTCACCTAGTCACTTAATTTGCACTCCCTCCCTCTGGCAAGAATGAGACTGGCATGCTCATTCTTTGTTGCATATCAGCATTGCTTTTCTCCTCCCGTTCCTTGTCAGCACCTCCATGCAAGTTAGGTCACGTACGCTCGAGCCTCCAGTCTCGATTCATCTTCGACTAGAAATGAACAAAATAATCTTTCGCACCCAGAAAGCAAATAACAAGCGCAGTTTGCAGCTGTATATGCAACATAAGGCAGAGGCAGCTGTTAAGGAAATTCCTGATGTGTGAACAAGAAAATAAAAAGTAACTTTAAAACTGTATTACTGAAATAAGTGTAGGTAGTATCAATCCATCACCCATATATCAGGCTGACATTTAAAGCCTTGAGACAGACTAAACAATAATCTATCTTTGACATTATATTGTTGCACCAGCCCACAACAGGAACTGAATCACAGATGCTATTGTTCAGAGCTGTGGCACTGGAAAGTTCCCAAGATGGACTCGGACAGAGTGGATTAATGTTAGTAAAACAGGCTCTGGGTTACCAGCCCACAAAAGAAACTTGATGCCAAATGACTAGTAGATGAACAAAACAAAAAGCAAACTAAAGTGTTGACCAACAGTAAATACAAGCAGTCAAGAAAGCTTATATAGAAAATCAGATAAAGCCTGAAACGTACAACTCTTAATTTCGCGCCAATCTGTCGGTAACATTCTGGCTTGCTTTAATGTGCAGTTAGATATCATACCCTCTCGCCAGGCGAGGCGATTTCAAAGTGAATCCTGGACTTCAACAGAGCAACATTAATAACTGCCCGACCCATTTTCAGTCAGTGCAATAAAAAACTAAAGTAAAATAATTTTAAGTTCTTTTTAAAAACCCCTTTAGCTATAAGTTGCGCTTATTTTATGGAAATAAGTACTCAAACGCACTCCTCGTCGGTCTCAACAGCTCCACTTTTCAAAAGATCCAGCTCATTCAGAACTCTGCCGCCCGCACACTGACCCGGACCAAACGCCGTACCCACATCTCGCCAGTTCCGGCCCAGGCTCCCCATCACCGAAAGAATCAACTTCAAGATCCTCACACTCGTGTTCAAATCCCTTCATTCTCTGGCTCCTCCCGACCTCTCCGACCTCCTCACTCCCCAATCCACCACCCGGCGCCTCTGCTCGACTGGTACCGGCCTCTTGCTCGTCCCTCGCGCCCTCCGCCCCCCCACCATCGAAGGTCGCGCTTTCAGGCACTCCGTCCCAAAACTCTGGAACACTCTCCCTCAATCCCTCCGCCTTGACCCCTCGCTCCCCTCTTTCAAGTCCCGCCTCAAAACCTTCCTCTTCGACCGTGGTTACGGCCACCTCCCCGCCCCCGGTTCGGAATAATGCTCCGCCACTGTTAAGCGCTCTGCGATGCTACCCTTCATGGAGGGCTCTGTATGAGTGAAAGTTGTTGTTGTTGTTGTTAAGTGAGTAGGTTGATTTTTTTTTAAACTTTGCAAGCAACGTAAGCTCAGATGGAAAGGCGAAGCATTTAGGTAATTAAGCTCAGTGCTGATTCTGGTCACAGAGTAAACCCACACGGAGGGGCTGAGGCTTCCCCCGGGGGTTCTGTTTTACAGACCACAGTTACACGGTGCGTCTAGTACCCTCTCCCTCTGCCAACCCGGCCCTCTTTATGGGGAGTGCAGACAGGTTAACACACAGGATGTGCACACATTTTGGGAGGACACTCTCTTTAAACAGGATGGGGGAACGTCTTGTGTGCGTTACATACATGTGCTAGAGCTCATTTGCCGATCACGGATGGCCCTCGATGTGCACAGTACACACACACGCACGGCAACACAAACCAAAACACCCGGAGACATGGAAACACAAACCATGCACATACACTAAACACCCAACCAGTCCCGGCACTGTCACCGAGTGTCCATGCCGGGGTTCTGTTCCCTTTATCTTGTTCTCTGATGCCATTTTCAGCTGATATGTGGGGCTCACAAGTAACGCTAACATCTAAAACAATCTCTCCCCGGTTCATCGCTGGACTCGACATTGACATTAACACAATGAGGCAGCAGAAACCCAAAATAATTGCTTTACAAAATTTATTAGTCCTGTCGACGTGTGACCCTCAGGTACCATGAAACATCTGTTTGGGAGGAGGGGGAATGGTTATAAAATTCCGATTAGGATAGCACCCATCACCAAAGCTGTGTGGGTGGCGGATGATAATTGCCAGCACGGGTTAAGCAAGCAGAAATGATCCTAAGCACTCTGAAACCATTCTGTGTAAGATCGAACACCTCTGAGTTGTACTGCAAACAATTGGTACCAATAGAGTGGACAACCAAGCACATGGAGAAGACATAAATGTCTTCCTTGTGTGCTCCACAGGAAGATTGTTTTTCCTGCTGATGGTGTATATTGACTTTTCTGCAAGGTGAGTATTTCAATCAGTTCCTGGAAAAATACACTGAGCAGGGGCAGCTTGCAAATAGAGCTACTTACTATCACTGCTTAAGTCATGAACTTGGATCGTTACACGTTATTTTCACATCAAACGAGTGTCTGTGTGTTAAAGGATTTCACTCTAACAACACTCAGAATTTGCCAGCTTTCTGTACGACCGGCCAACTTTTACTGAAACTATTCAATGAATTTTCGAATACGTTAAAAACCAAAGTAAAAACGTTTTGTTTATTTCAAATGCGCGTTCAGTGATAGAACACAATGGATAAACACACCAATATGAAGCGTGAACAAAGCTAACTTTCTTCAGTTGAACGTGAGCAAAACTGAGGGCCTCCTGATCGGCTCCCGTCAGCGCCTCCACACCTCAGGCGCATCCACCATGTCCGGAACCTTGGGGTCTTGTTTGACCCTCAACCATCCTTTTTTATCCCACACCTGCGCCATGACCCGCTCTGCCTTCCCCCACCTCTGCAACATCGCCCGGCTCCGCCACTGTCTCACACCGCAGGCCACGTTCGGGTCGGAAGCACTGACTGTCCAGCGCCTTGGGACGTCCTCCCGACCTGAAAGGCGCTCTACAATGAAATTTTGTTTTTGACTAATTTAAGTTGTGCTATTCGTGCAAAATATCACAAATAAAACACGAGTGCATGAATACGCCAGGATTTCATATAAACTGCACAACGCTTGCATTTTAATGCTCTCGCACCGACCCGCATAGTCACACGTCAACGCTGAGTTAACCAGTCTCACAGTTTAGCTTCTCTTGTTTAAAATCCTTTAAGATCGTCTCCTCCAGAGGAATCAATATGGCTTGAGAATATCAAACCTGTCCAAGCTTGTACGGTCTGCACCAACTGTAGCTGATAGAGAAATGGGTGCATTGAGCTGCAGCATATTTGTGCGTACCTATTGACTGGGGTTGTCTAACCCCTTTCAGGAAGAAGATATAAAATATCTCGGGGGGGAAATTAAATTTCTTTTACCTGTACACAGTCCAGCTTGATGTGCCGGTCCACCTTCCTTCACACTTTTAACAAAGATGGTATCCATGGGCTCCACTTTGCCCTTTTCCTGGCCTGTGAAGTTAAATGACGACAGATCAACAAAATTATACAGCGGCGAACTCATCTTGTGGACACCCAGTAAATAGCACATCTCCCATTTCAGGTCACTTGCCATCTCCCTATTTGAAAATGATTTTATTTGGGTCAGCTACATGTTTGACATATTCAGAAACCCGTCAACTTGCTTAATTCTGGAGTCCTGTAGCGAATTGGTTAGAGCACTCGCCTCGCAAGCGAGAGGACTGAGTTTGATTACTGGGCAGGGCAAAATCTTAGGCACGTTTCCTTCCTTACTGGACCTCTGTTTACCGAGCAGTAAGTAGAAAACTTGGTTGTTAGTCGATTAGCGGATTGCTTTCCAGGGCTAATAGTCCCTCAAAAGAAAAGGTCACTCAATTTACGACTGTCTGTGGGACGCTGCTGTGCGCAATTGGCTGCCGCATTTCACCCACAAAATATACAGTCAATTCACTTTACAGTATATTCTGTGAAACACTTTGAGACGTCTCAACGACGTGATAAAGCAGTAAATCAAATGCGAGTATTATTATTATTGTTATTATTATTAAGAGCATCCAAGCCAGACTCAGTTCCACACATGTATGCCTCCTACACGTGAACACATCCCAATGCGCTGGACGGTCAGGGATTTGGACCCAAGCTGGGGGTTGGGTCAGGAGAAGTGGAGGGCAGGTGCGGTCGAAGAGGAAGGTCTTGAAATACGCCTTGCAGGAGGCAAGGGAGGGAGAAAGGTGAACAGACTGTGGGATGAAGTTCCAAAGCGTTGGAGTAGAGAGACTGCCGATGGTGGGGCGGGCCAGGCCGGGGACGTGGGGCAGGCTGGAGCCTGCTGAGCGAAAGGAGCAGACAGGTTGATATAGCGACAGGTACAGACAGACTCATGCAATAAACCCACAAAGTTGTTTTTTAAAACCAACAATATCCTCTCTGATTTGAGTCAATAAACTATTTCCTCACCCACAACAGCAAACACAAACTGCTTTTTAAACTGGCGTTGAAATGGGAGTCAGCACACAGTAAAGGTATCCATAATAAAAACTCACCTCTTCCATTTCCATTTTCCTCGTCCTGCAAATGAACAGAAAGGACACAGATTAAACATCTTGGCGTTTGTCTCTCGATATTAAAAGTCTTAAGCATTTTGTTCCTTTGAATGACCAATGGATGTTTTAACACAATGGTAATTAAACCTCTCTGTGCCATTGTTCGTGCAGTAAACGACAACGAGCCTGGCATTTGATATAGTGCCTTTCATTTCAGGAGGACGTCTCAAAGTGCTACTGTTAAAACAAGACTTCTGCGGTACTAATAATGAAGGTATTAATAATAAAGCGCCTTACAATACAGAATGTTTCCACGTGATGATAAAGGGTCAGTTATTTTCAGGATGACATTGTGAGATTGCCTGGACGCTGGTTGAGATGCTATCTCATGAAAATGAAGTCCTGCACAGCCAGCGCCATCTGGCCAGCATTGACAACTCCACTAATAGGTTTAAAAATGGGACAAAGGTTCAGAGGCAGCGAGGTTTTACCTGTCACCGAATGTTAAATTGAATATTACAAATGAAATACCTGTAGGTGAAATATTATAGCATCCTCTGCATGATGCGTCAAGTAGAGGGGCAGGAAGGGGGGAGGGAGGTAAACATGTCTATGGAACGTTGGAAATGAGTCAACCCTCTATGGTGCTCTATGGTACTCCTGAGGCAGAAAGGAATGCAGGGCACTGCTGATGGCAGCCCAGCCATCGTGGCTCATCAGTAATCTTCCCATTCAATTCTTGTTAACCTGGCAAGCCGGGTAAGGTGATCCTCAGTGGATAGCAGTGGAAAGCTTGCCAGAAATGCTTTCAATGGCAATCTTTTTGGCTCTATCTGGTTCAAATCCAGCATATTCCCAGCAGCACACTCTGGAATCCCCACACTTTGGCTCTGCCCAGCCTGAGTCTAATACTTTCCGGTATTAGGCAAGCAGGATACGCGCTTCCAGGAGAGAGTGCACATTCATTCCAAAGCATGAGAATTTCCACATGTAGATGGGAGGCATTGAACTCAGTTTGATTTGGATACTCTTAAACAGGGTGATGGTGTCTTGCATATGTCAAACACCCGGGCTGACCAAAACAAAATGCATCAAGTCAGTAAGATCGTATCTACCATTAGCATTTTAAGAGGTTAGTATATGTATAACAAATCAATCACATTCACTCCATTCCCATGAAACAATATTGCACAACTGAATTGGCTCAGTCCTAATGCATGCAATGCTCTTGGATTGAATGCAAAAGGAAGTGCTGATGAATCCGTGTAATGCATTGGTTAACCACAACCAGAATAGTGTGTGAAGTTTTGGACACCACATTGTATAGAAAAGTTGTTAGACATAGGGAGAAAGTGCACCATAGGTTCATGAGGATGATATTGGAGATGCAAGAATATAGCTGTGAGGAGAGGATAGAGAGATGAGAACTCTTCCTATTGCAGCAGAGAAAGGGGTGAAATTATAGAAGTACTAATTAAAGCATTTGGGCGAATTATTTGTGACAAAAATGAATCTACTGATAGGGGATTCAAGGACAAGTGGGGGGGGGATTCAAATGTTAAGACTATAACCTTAAGAATAAGAACGCGACAGATTTTAATCCTCTGATTTTCTTTTTATCCACCCTCGTGTAAAAGGAGCAGGAATTTTGAATCTTAAAAAAAGGAGACACAGAATTTATCTCTTGCTTCAGGCTGCTGCATGCCTCTGAAATGCATTCCGAGAAATGTCAAAGCCATTTTAAATTGCTATCTTTTTCCACATAAAATCTTATCTGGAGAATTGTGGGACATTTTCCATCCTCTTCATGGAAAAATTCTGATAGCAACCTGAAGAAAAATGTAATTAAAACGATTCCACTTTCCACGATTGGCAACGGAAGCAACTTCTCCCTCTTGGCCGGTTTCTATAAAGCTGTGGCTGTCTTATTTTCCAAAAGATTAGATTTTCCACAGGCTGAGTAATATATGTGGGGGAGAAATTCCTAACGCCACTACATAAGACTTTAACGATGAGGAATCTCAAAGGGGTTTCCCCACAGCTTATGCCATCAGAAAACACTTGGGTGTCAGCATTGCTCAATTGGTAACGTTTGCTTCCGAGTCAGAAGGTTGTGGGTTTAAGCTCCAAGTCAGAACCTTGAACGCATAGTCTCGGCTGACAATGCGCTGCACTCTCTGAGGTGCCATTCTTCAGATGAGACGTTAAACCGATATCCCATCTTCCTATTGAAGTAGACGTTAAAGATCCAACGGCACTGCTCTAAACGCGAAGGGAGTTTTCACAATGTCCTGGCCGACAAGTCCTGGTGAAAACATTGATCATGTGGCGTCCTGTCGCTCAGTGGTTAGAAAACTCGCCTCGTAAGCGAGAGACCTGGGTTCGGTTCCAGGCAGGGCGAAATGTTGGGCAAGTTTCCTTATTCCACACACCTCCTGGCAGTAGGTAGGAACCCGGTTGTTAGTTGATTGGCGGGTCACCTTTCTGGGGTAATAATTACTTAAAAAAAAATAATAAATTGGGTCACTCAATTAACGACTGTTTGTGGGACACTGCTGTACACAATTGGCTGCCGTGTTTCGCCCACAAAATATAATCAATTCACTTTACAGTATATTCTATGAAGTGCTTTGAGACGTCTTGAAGATGTGATACGACGCTGTATCAAATGCAAGGATTATTATTATTCACTTCAGTGCTGTTTGTAGGACATTGCTGAGTACAAGTTGGCCACTGCAGTTGCCTAAAACATACACAACACTTTACACTAAATCTTGTGAAGCAGTTTGAGATGTTCTGACGTGAAAGGTGCTATGTCAGTAATAAAAAATATATAATTGTTGCATTTGACATAGAGCCTTTCATGTCAGGAGAAGCGCTGAAAATCGACTGCTCCGTTACGCTGGATGGTATTTACTGATCCCAACTCCTGTATTACCTTTGGTCTTCACTATATTATATACTCAACTTAACCATTCAAAAGGACAGAACCCAAATCCGAGAACTGTAGACTTTTGACTGTAGATTTTAGAAAACAGACAAAATGTTTGAATCTCAAACAACTATCCATCATTCCCCCGCCACCACCACAAAAAAAAAAACGAATTGGAAGAAAAAAAATCAGGAGAAAATTATCCACGTAAATGGGATCACATCACCCGGAAAGAGTGGTGGGCAGATAGGCCGGGTTCTTGAGGATGTCAGTGAGTGTACAACTTTACCTCCTGACAGTATAATTCTAATCCTATTGTGTAACATGGTATGAACATTACCGAATACTAATCCAGCATTCATTGCCAACATTTTCATTAGCAATTTAGTGTCTTGTCCGAACTGGGTCTCTGACCTCCGAATATTAAGTGTAGTTCAAGGTCATTGAAAGCCAAAGAAGGAAATAGTTGTCCTCGTGTCAGTGCGTTGCGACATCCTTCCCGCAATGAGAAATTTCATGAGAGAAAAAAAAATGACTTGTGGGGTCTTGCTGCACAATAAGGTCAAAGTCGCCTCTGGAATAAACACACATTGATACTAGCTTTGATATTGAGGACAGCTCCGGCCTACTTGCCAAAAAAAAAAGGTTTATGGAGTAATTATGTGAAAAGGAAATGCATTGTTAAAGAAAGATACATCAAAAGAACCAGATTGTGCAAAACCATGGCAGAAAACTTCAGGATCCTATAATTAACCCGGTTTTATTTACCTCAAGTGGTCTCCCACATTGGAGTTTCCACAATAATTGGTGGAACAGACTAAGCTCTTTGTTGACGGCAATATTAACTTTTCAAACACTGTGTTCTTGTTTAACAGCGTAATTTCTAGGTCAGTGTCATGGCCTTTACAAGGATCTCGGCAGTGGTACAAGTCTTCTGCCACCAGATGGTCTCAGGGAGCTGAGTGAAAGTTAGCACACTGTGTAGGCAGACATTCGCTCGATCTGCACACGGGCCAAACTAACTTTTTATTCATAGAATAGAGTTTCAAATAGCTGCAAGCTCAAGCTGAGCAGATACTGAATAACAATACCTCAAAAAGGGAACCAGAGATCCCACAAGACTTGGTTTCTGGAGAAAGTATGTTAGTAAAAAATACAACTTTCTTAGTGAAATCAGAGCTGACGCTGTTTAATTGCTGTACGTGACTGGTTACCTATTAGCTGTATATCATACACAACTACCTGGAAGCATTTCATCCAGGTTTAAGGAGTCTGTTTCACAATGTAACAGGGTGAGATCTCTGCAGTTAGTCTGATCCCTAGTAATAAGACAGAGACAGCTTTTGATGGCATGGAATCCTTTAGTGGACAGATGAGAAAACCCTGCTGTAGCCTTGTAGAGCCGGTCACATACACCGAAGTAATAATAGTATTAGTAGTAATACACTAATATCATTATCATTAGGATTATCATTTTTGTCCCAACATGAAAGGCGCTAAACAAATGTAAATCGCTTTATTATAGATGTAAAATTTTCTCTGCGACCCTTAACTTATACTTGCAAAGCTGTCTCGGTTCAAGTCTTTTGGAATCAAAACGTACAACACACGTTCAACACAAACAGGACAAAGAGATTTCCTTTTGACACGCTCTCATGATGCGGGGGCAGGATATCCCACACTGTCAACTCATTATCACGTAAACTCTGCTGACATTAACAGCACAGCTGCTGAGGTCTCATATACACATTTACATTTACTGATTACTAGAAACAGCTTTTCGGAGTAACAATACCTCACAAGATGACGAAAGGTCATCGACTTGAAACATTCACTAATTTTCCTCTCTCCATAGATGCTGCCTGACCTGCTGAGTGTTCCCAGCCACTTCTGTTTTACTTCAGATTTCCAGCACCTGCAGTATTTTGCCTTTCACTTCTAATATAATGGCTCGCAAGCGAAAGGACCTGTGTTTGATCCCTGCGCAGGACAAAATGTTAGGCAAGTTTCCTTACTCCACGTGCCTCTGTTTACCAAGCAGTAATTAGGAATCTGGTTGTTAGTCGATTGGCGGATCACTTTTCTGCAGGTAA